CCACAGGTAAACGTTATTATTTCACCTTCTGGTGTATTTATTTCAGTTGGTACAACATTATTAGTCTGCAATGCATCCAACACCATTAATTCAATTTATGCATTTTGTCATTACTTATTCTAAGTAAATGATAATGATGTAGGAGGCTTATGTGGTGATGAATGAGGGAAAAGTGATGCCAAGGAACAAGTATCCAAAGCCCTTAGTATTTCATGATGGAAGACTTGCATTCTTGCCTACTCCTTCAGCAACTCTGTGTATGTTCATGTGGCTTCCAATTGGACTTGTGATGGCCATTTACAGAATATTTCTGGGTGTGTTCCTTTGTTACAAATTCACATTGGCATTAGGAATGTGGTGTGGGTTGAAACTGGATTTCAAAGACAATAACCAGAAAAAATCAGAGTCAGATAAAGGGGTGCTTTATGTTTGCACTCACAGGACTCTCTTGGATCCAATTTTTCTGAGCTCAGGTTTGGGGAGGCCTTTGACAGCAGTGACATACAGCTTAAGCAAGGTGTCTGAGTGTATAGCCCCTATTAGGACCATAAGACTGACAAGGGACAGAAAAGAAGATGGAGAAACTATGAAAAGGTTGCTTGGTGAAGGGGATTTGGTGGTGTTTCCTGAAGGAACAACTTGTAGGGAGCCCTATCTGTTAAGGTTCAGTTCCTTGTTTGCAGAACTGGCTGATGAGATTGTGCCTGTGGCTGTGAATGTTCATCTGAGCATGTTCTATGGGACCACAGCAAGTGGCCTGAAGGTGTTTGATCCATTTTTCTTTTTCATGAACCCTAGCCCTAAATATGACATTGAGATCCTTGAAAAGGTTCCTAGAGAACTCACTTGTGCTGGGGGAAGGTCAAGTCATGAAGTGGCAAATCACATACAGAAACAGTTGGGCTATGCTTTGGGATTTGAGTGCACCAACCTTACAAGGAGGGATAAATATATAATGCTGGCTGGAAACGAAGGGGTTGTTCAAGAAAACAAGGGGAGAAGAATCTGATAATATGGAAAATTGTTCAAAGCAATGACAAATGTTTTTATAGTTTTCTCAATCAGTAAAATGTCAAATCTCTTCATGTGTAATGACTGAAAGTGAGCCAGAGATTTTCCATGTGAAGTTTGTTCTTCCTTTGAAATTTCATTAGATTTTAATGGAGAAAGTATGGAGAAAGTGTTTGTATACAATCATTTCTTTATAGGTTTAATGTTTGTGGTAGGTCCCTATTTTCGTCTCTCAAATAGGTTCTCTTCTTTTTCGATGTCTCAATTGGGTTCTTATTTTTTTAAAATTGAATAAAATAGAGGCTTGCCGTCAAATTGAAAAGACACCATTAAGGAGGGTGTTATGTGACATGCTGACAGTATACATGTGTAAGGGAAGTTGGCATGGTGACGTGGCATGCTAACACCCTGGTGGTCGGTCACTCGGTCTGGTGGTCGGCCACTCATTCTGGCAGTCGGCCTGATGATCGGCCTTTTATTCGGCCACTCAGTCTGGTGGTCAGCCTTTTATTCGGCCACTCAGTTTAGTGGTCAGCCTGATGGTCAGCCTGGTGGTCGGCTATTCGGTCAGGTGGTCGGTCGCCCTGGTGGGTGGTCGTCCTAGTGGTGTTGGTCGGTCTGGTGGTTGGCCACTCGGTT